GGCGGGAAGAGGGGACTCGGGCAGCCCACTCCCCTGCTCTGATGATGTTGACTGTGAGCCGTGGGGGGCCTATCCCTGCATCCCACATGGAAAGACTGGAAGACAGAGCTCCCACCTGGAGTTTTCCCCCAGCCCCTGAGCCCCTGCATTTACCCCCTGCCCCGGCTCCTCGTTAGAGTGTCCAGAGAACTCAGAGACAGGTTTCTAGGGGGCCGTTCATGAGGGGGTGAGTGGTGTCCCCCAAAAGGCACTTGTGAGCCCGGCTTTGGAAAGAGCTTTGGGAGATAGCATCAGTTGGGTCAGCGTGAGGTCACCGCAGAGTTGGGCGGGCCTCATCCTGTTGGAGCGATGTCCTTGTGAACGAGGAGAAGAGACCCGGAGACAGGGGAAAGGCCGCCTCAGCAGAGACCAGCGTGATGACGCCACAAGCCAAGGAGCACCAGGAGCCCACCAAGCGCAGAGAGGCAGGCCAGGACCCTCCTTGGGAGCCTCACGGAGGCAGCCCCTGGCCCCCCGCTGCTCACACCGAGCTGACATGCCTGCGGGGCTGTGTCGGAGCACAGATACTGCTGAGCTGAGGGACCACCGTACCACGCACAGGGCCCCCTCACCCCTGTGTGCACACCACTTGCCCTGTGGTAGCGGCTGCGAGGCCTGGGCATCTTCCCTTTGGAGAGCAGGTGGGATTAGGGTCTGGAGGCACGAGGCCACGTCCAGCTAGCCAGCCTGCCCTTGGAGATGCCCAGGGCCCCTGCTGTGTTCTTCCTCTCTGTGCCTGAAGAAGGCAGGTCCGGGAATAAGGACGAACCCCAACAACAGGCCCTGAAGAAAGGGGAGCTTCTCCCCTGCTGCACACCTGCCTGTGCGGAGTCCCAGGTGGCCCCAGATGAGCCCACAGCAAGAGCAGTCCTGTCTTGTCCTCCCTACCCCACCCGACCCTGTCTCCATCCCTGACCTCACCCCCACCCCGCACTGTCTCCACCCCTGCCCTCAGTGCTACCAGACTCCTCTCTCTGCCCCTGCCCTCACCCTTACCCCACCCCTGCCCCAGCCCTGACTCTGTCCTCACAAGCAGCACCCAGCCACCTTCTCGTGCAGTCGCCCCCATCCCTCAGAAAGCAAACCTGAGGCTGGGGTGGGGAGACGCCAGCTCAGGGTTCACAGGGGCATGCTCTCATCACCATGAGGGTCAGCCGTCCTCAGGGGCCAGAAGGTGGAGGGGAGCCAACTGACCTTTAGGATCCCTCTGAGGGCCGAGTCCCCAGGCCCGTGCGGTCACTGTGCTCCTGTGTGGTTTCAGGCCGGACACCCAGGACCTGGAAGGCCCTGCCCCAGGCCCCGGCTTAGTGGGTGAAAAGCCCGAGGATGCAGAGGAAGAGGAGGAGGAGGAGGAGCTGGAGGAGGAAGACGAGGACAGCCTGGCAGGCAAGTCCCAGGACGAGGCCACGTCGCCAGCCCCTGAGCCGCAGGGTGCCTACGGGGACGAGGAGGAGGAGGAGCCGCCTGCCCCGCTGGCCGTGGGCCTTGGCCACACGCGGAGGTGGGTGCCGGCCTGTGCCCAGCCTGCGGGGAGGGGGCGTTCCACAGCGAGAGGCTGCCTCACCTCCCAGCCACAATACACACACACACACACACACACACACACACACACACACACACACACCCAGTCCAGCAAGCCTTTCCACCAGGAGCGTCCACACATCGGGCTGGGCTGAAGCTGGGCCGAGGGAAGGGGTTGGGCCCTCTGATGCACAAGCCCCAGGGACCTTCTAGAGACCTGGATGGACTCTGTCCACACACGCAGGACCTCAGGCCGACAGTGTGTTACACCCCTTACCCACCAGGCCAGGCCAGCTGGCTACTTGGGCTGCCCCGGGCAGAGCAGGCAGCCCAGTGAGAAGTCCTACAGGTTGGACCACTGTCCCCACCTGCACCTTGCACTTAGGGACACTGCCATCCCCCAAGGCCCAGAGGCCTCTGCAGACGCAAGCCCCTACTGCCCCCGGGCACCTCAAGAGGGCGCTCAGGCCCCCTGGAGAGGGAAAAAGGCCTGATGCTCCCCTCTGGCAGAGACCTGAGCCCCACCTGCAGCCTGCAGCACGCGTGCACGCACCCACCCCCAGCCCAGCCCGTCCACCCGCACCTGCTCATGCTTCATGTGGCGTCGTGTCCAATTATCCATGTGTCCGTGTGTCCGTCTCCTTGTGCATGTGGCTTGCAGAACACGGGGCATGCATGCGGTCCCAGAGCTGGTCAGCAGTGTCCGAGAGGCGGCCAGCGGCCGGCCCCACTGACCCCAGGCCCCCTGGTCCTTGGTACAGGTGTATTGAGGAGGAAGAAGGCAGCCTGTTAGCTTTGGAGCCGATGCCGACTTTTGGGAAGGGGCTGGACCTCCGCAAAGCAGCTGAGGAAGCATTTGAAGTTAAAGATGTGCTTAATTCCACCTTAGACTCGGAGGCTCTGAAACAGAGCCTGTACAGGCAGGTTAAGAGCCAGGTAGGTACCCGCCAGAGCCCTGCCTGCCCACCCTCTGTTACACCCAGCCACTGCACCTCCTGGTGGGACTGCCTAGCGCCCACCCCTGCTTCACCCACTCCAAACCCACCCTGCCCACTGAATCCGAGAGGGTGGTGTCCACGTGGCCTCAGGAGATGCCCAGAGCACAATGGCACAGTGACGCTGGCAATGACTCTCCGCTCTCCCCCAGGGCTTCCCCTGCACAAGGGGGACAGCCTCCAGGCACACCCGGGACCAGGCGTCCCCTCTCCTGCCCAAGTAGTGGCCCAGGGTCTCACAAGGTCCTCCAGGGCCCTTACACAGCAGGAGGTCACTGTGTCGAGATGGGGTTGTGACGGAGTCTCCGTAGAGCTAGACAGCTGCTGAGCTTTCTGATCCTCTCCAGTCCCACCCCCCAGTGGGAAGAGCACCGCCCCCCGCCCCCCACCAAAGGACAGGTCTGCCTGAGTCTCCGCAGAAGCTGTGTCTGTCTGTCTGTCTGTCTGTCTGTGTCTTTACTAATTCTGTCCGTGTCTGCCCAGTGGGGCCAGCCTGGCCTGCCTGCAGTCTCTAGCTCTGTGTGTGTGTGTGTGTGTGTGTGTGTGTGTGTGTGTGTGTGTGTCCCTGCTCTCCTGTACTCTCAGTCAGCTCAGTGGGCCCAGGACATGTGCTTCCTTCCCCAGAAGAGACTTCAGGGGCCATCACAGTTCAAAGCCAGCCCCCACACCTCTCCAGTCCCCTCGTGGGTACTCGCAGGTCTCTGAGCACAATGTCCCAGCAGTAACCCCTGCCAGAACGAGGGGTGACTGCAGGGGTGAGGTCCTCACTCCACCCCACCCCCACCTCCCCAGCAAATGCCCTCTCCCTCTGCCCAGCCTGGACCAGTGGGGGCCTAATGGTTGGGAGTGACTGGGAGGGTTGGGCCGGGGTCCCCAGATCCTGCCACCCTGCTCACCTTTCCATCTGCCATCTGCCCTTCCCACAGGCCTATGCAATGATGTTGTCCCTCTCTGAAGATGCCCCTCTCCACACCGCTGCCCAGAGCCCCCTGGATGCTTGGCTGAACATGGCCGGTGCCACGTCGGAGGCCGGAGCCTTCAACCCCATCAACCACCTCTGAGAAACTTAGGAGGTGCTGGGCTCCAAGTCCCAAGCCAGGTGACCACGGAGTCCCCGCTGCCCCAACACAAGTCTCAGCTGCCCACCGGGGACAGTGGAAGCAAAGGTCTCCGGGAAGCCATGCGGCCCAGAGCCGGAGGAGTCGCCATCACCTGCGCCCAGCCACCCCTCAGCGTGGACTCTCACCCACTGTGGCTCGGTCCCGACTTTCCCAATGAAAACTCAGAGCCCAGAAGCCCCTGAAGCTGAAGCCACCCCACCCCCACCTCCAAGGATTCTTCGTAAAAGTACTGCTGAGTCATGGGGTGCACACCCCACTGGCCAGCTCAGGGACCCGCCTCCATAGGAGGCGAGGAGTCCAGTCACCTATGGGGCCCAGGGGCCGCTTCTGGGCATGGCTGGTTTCCTGGAAGAGAGAGTGGCCAGCCCGGGCCGCTCCAAAGAGGCTGACCCCGCCACTGATTTTATAACACAAGATACACCAACACCCCTTTTGGTAACTTCATTGACCCAGAGCCCTTCTCCGCATGTGGTTTCAAAAGACAGTATTTTTCACAAAATCGAAAATGACTTGCAAATTGTTTTGGGGTTTTTTTTGTTTTGTTTTTTTAGCTGTGATTTGACGTTGCTCGGAGGTCTCCGCTCATTGGCAAACCCGAGCCCACCTCGGGCCAGCGCGGGGTTCGGGTCGCTCTTTATACTGTAGATATAGAGACATTTTCTACCCCTGATGCTATTTGTACCCACCAAGGGGACCCCGGGGACCCCAGAGGCAGAGCCTGCGAGGCGTGGGGCTGACTCCCGCTGGCAAGATCCCAGAGCAGCTTGGATTCTTCAACAAGGCATCCTGGGTCTGCCGGAGGCTTGCCGGAGGCGGGGGGCCAGGAGAGTGCCTGACGTGGTTCCTCTGTGTCCTCAAGGTCGCCGGAGGAACCCGAGACCCCATCTAGGACCTCCCCACCCCCATTGTCTGGGGATGTCGGGAGCTGGCCACCCTGGTCCCCAGCTCAGAGGGGCCGCCACACTGGACTCTTTCCTTCCCAGGTTTCTGTCTCGGCAGACCCTGAGCTCACCCCCATGGGGAGGGGGACACCTTCTGAAGAACCTGCTGGCCGAGTCCCAGGACTTCAGCCTAGCACCCCCAGCCAACCCCAACCAGACAGTGGCAAGGGAACTCTCGACGCCAGCAACGCCAAGCCCTCCCTGTGCCTGCATCTCAGACGAGGACTCGGCTCCCAGCAGCCACCTGTGCCCTTGGCCAGGCTCTGGGCACCAGGCAGGTGTCTAGATGTGGCCCCCACGGGGAGAGGACAGCTCCGTCTCCACAAGGCCATGCTACCCTGCTCCCTTGGAGGGGCTTTAAATTATTCCCATAGGGGCCAACTTTGAAATAATAATGTTTTCCCGATGGAATGTCCCTTAATCTGTATATAACTTGTAATTTTTTTTCTAATTCATTTCTTTTCCTATTTTATTTCCTCCTTAACAGTATTTTTTGGCATTAGACACCCTTATTGTGAAGAAATGATGTTAATATAAGTACCCAGTGAAGGACCAAAACTGTGTAATAAGGTTGTGTGTTGTGTGATCAATAACCAGGGCATGGGTGACTGTTGATGTGCCAAATGACACTCCCCTACCCCCTGCCGCCGCATCCCTGGAGAGTCCTGCTTCCCCCCTCCCCACTGATAGTCCCTGACAATCACGTGTCTGTCCCACATGCTTCCCAGTCACACCTGCATGCACCACGATGCGCCTTCTCCTTATTACCTCCATGTTTGCAGAGGGGCAAGGAGCCCCCGTTGGCCATAGCAAGTGTGGTGGTATACTCCGTTTTGGGGTGTGTGTCCTGGGTGTGTGTCCCAGAGGAGGGTCAGGCCAGACAATCGTTCCTGTAAGGGGTGGGGGGCTGCATCAGGGAGCTCCCAGGAGAGGCATCGGCCAGGCACAGTGGCCAGCCCAGATCAGGGGTGGGCTGGGCACATGTTCCCGCGAGCAGCTAAGCAAAGGGGTGGAGCTGTCACACCTCTTGGACAGTGATTTACAGGCACACCTTTTCTACCTTCCTCACGAGTGCCCCCCCTCCCCGTCCCTAAGACCCTCCCAGCTTGCCCCATCAGAAATGTCCAAGTCCCTTGATCAGGGCCCTTTGTGAAACCCAGCCTCAGACACACACACTCCTCGGTTGTAAATCCCAAGGATACGATTTATTCTGTTCAAGGATAAGGCGTGTGCTTTCTTCAGCCATGTGCTCTCTTCTCTGGCTGGGGACTCGAACAGATGGAGACACGAGTATCCGTGGGGGCCCCCACCTCCTGTCCCAGCTTTGGCTCCCCAGCCTCCTGCCATCCCCTTTCAGACACCTGAGATCACATGTTTTTGACCCTCTGAAAACAAGGGTAGCGAGATGAGATTCTGTCAGGTTGCCCCATGGGCCTGAGCACTTAGTAGGCTACATTGGGGGGGGGGAGTCTGTCCGCTGGCCCCCTGGCTGAAGAGCACTGACTTCTGGGGTCTGAGTATCCCCAAGCTACTGCCTCAACAGCTCAGCATCGCCCAGACCACAGAAGGACCTGCCCTCCTGGCACCAGTGGGCTCTGAAGCCAGCACTGATTATGTTAATGTCACCCCCACCCCACCCCACTCCTGAGCCTGGAGAGATGTGGGTGCAAAGGGGGAGGGGGGCTCGGAGGTCCCAGCCTGTGAAGACTTCTAGGGACAAATCCATTCTTCCCAGGATCCCTGGGACAACCCAGCAAGGACTGGGGTGGGTCTCCCCCAGCCAGTTGTGCCAAGGCCCAGGGCCCTCTGTCCCACTCAATGGCTGCCTGGAGCAAATTTCTTGGGGTTGCCCACACTCACCCACAAGGGGAGGCCCCCAGCAATTTTCCATGCTGCCCCTCCAACAATTTTCCCCACTGACCCTCCAACATTGGCCCCACCACCACTCTACACTCAAGATAGCCACAGGGCTGTGGTCAGGGATCCGTGTAACCCCCGGGCTTTCCCCAGGCCCTGGGGTGTGGTTCTGAGGACCGGTGGGCTCACATCTGGCTGGAGGGATGGCCCACCCTCCCAGCCTTTCCCGGCCCCACGAGCACTCTGCAAACTTGGGCCCTTAACCTCCCTGCCCCCAACTGCTTCCCTGGCGTGCAGTCTGGAAGCACCGGCCTGAGTACATGTCTATCGTGTGTTTTAGACGCCAAGTCTGGGAGCCCTGGGGTGGTGCCCTGCCCACGTCCCTGAGAGTGACACCTCCGCTGCAGAGCTGTACTGAGGGGGCTGGGCACCTGCACTGCCACCTGGAGCCAGCTGGGACCCAAGGGCACAGCTGCTTCTGGTCAACAGTGGTCAGCGAGGTATCGAACCTGAAACCATGGGACTGTGTCTCTGCATGCCCGCCCCCCGACTCATCTGAGAAGAGCTGCCCTGCCCCCATCCACTGCACCATCCGTGGGCTCTTCGCTCTCACAGATCCGAATGAACCACTTGGGGGGGGGGGAGGGGCAAGGAAAAGGCAGCTTGAGCATCCCAAATGAGCAATGCCCCTTAGTCACCCGGAGGTCGCTCTCCCGCACCCTTGACGTTTCCAGGAGCCGATTTCCCCAGCGCGGCGCCAGGACCCGCACCCATCAGTGTCTCTCCGTGGATCCCGCATCTCTCCCGCGATCGCGACAGTGGGGAGCCCGCCTGGTCCCTCCCTGTCCTCCCGTGGTGGCCCTGGTGAGGGTGCAGATCTGGCTTCGTTTTGTTGGATTCTTCATTTTTATTTTGGTTTTTGTTTTCTTTCGGAACTGTATAGTGCTGAAAAGAGAAATCAAATGTAAATGTCTGTTTTTTCATATAATGTTAAAAAAAAAGAAGAAGAAGAAAAAACACAACAACAAAAAACAAGGACCTGACACGACGAGAAAGAAGAACCATTCATGGCGAAGGCGACTGGTGTCTGTCCCGTGTCCCCTCTTGGTTGTAAATTGCTTCTGTTCTGTTTCTAAGTGGATTGTGCATGGCACTGCTTAGCGGTCATTATCGTGTCTGTCTGTGAAAGGTTCATTAAAAGGAAAACTCCGTAGATGCACTTATTTGGCTGGCGTGATGAGGATCTTTGCCCGAGACCGGAAGTCCTGGGCTGCCGAAGCCACGTGGGCGCGGGTCCTGAGAGCGGGCACGGCGGGCGGAGGGCCGGGCCTGCCCACCTGCCCGCGGGGACGGCCCCGGGAGGCCCAGGGAGGCCGCAGCGCTCTTCCCCGCACCCCGACCGACAGACCGACCGACGGAGGCAGCCCAGCTCCCGTAGAGACGTCGCGTGGCGCCGTCGCCTAGGAGACGCTGACTGCGGTCCATGCTGTAGAATAGGACTCTGTGTACCAAATGTAATCTTTCCAATGCTACGAGGAATTTATACCTGAGATTGATATGCAATAAACCTGTGTGCTTTTCTAAGCCTGGTGCCAGCAGTGTTACTGGGACCGGTGGCCAGGTGATCAGGATGGGGCTCCCAGGTGCCCCTGTTCACCTGCCTTCCTAGGGGTCACAGGAACACACACACACACACACACACACACACACACAGCCACCAGGGCAAGCACCCGCGCAGTGCCCATTTCCCAGAAAAGAAGGAACTGGAGAAGGCAGCTATGTCCCAAGAGCCACCCCTAGTGAACGGTCAGCTTCTAAGTATCACAGAGGGCAGTGCCTGGCCCTCCAGGATGCCAGCCTCCAGAGTCCTCCACCCTGCCCGCCATGAGCCTGTGGCTCAGAGCAGCTCAGTGGCCCAGTGTCGCCTCGTGCAAGCCTGCCCTGTGCGGTCAGTCCACACGCACTCCTCCCTAAGGGTGGACGCCCCCCTGCCATCAGCCCTCCAAAAAGACTGTACCCACCAGCCCGGGCCCCTCTTCACACAGCCCCACTAGGGTCTGCAGCCTGCCTTCCCAGAAGCAGTGACCAGAGGGGAAGAGGTGCTGAGCCGATTCCCTGGGGTCCCGGGCTCCCCACGAGGCTCCTTCTCCTAGGTGCTGCAGAATTCCTTCTCATGGTCCACCTGCCTCTGGGGAGCCAGACCCTAGAACCCCATTCGGCTCTGACTAGAAGCTTCTGGAGTCCCCCAAAGATGTCCCCTAGTCCTTCCCACCCTCGACACATGCACTTTCCTGCTGTCGTAGACCCTAACTAATGTCACCAGGGCCCCCATCCCCCGGCCCCGCTAGCTCTCTGCATTTCTCCTGACACCAGCCGCCCCCCTCCGGGCAGCTCAGTGGACCCCACAGCATCTCCTTTTTCCAACCATCCCCCACCAGTTCCCCAAACACAGGCCAGCACTGAGAACTGCCAAGTCATGCTGCCTGCTGCCCGGAGGTGGCCTCTGTGGACGAGCAGCCCCATGCTTACGTAGCAAATACTCACCATAAACTGTCCATTCAGGGTGACTGACCCCTGTTGGGCACTGAGGATCCCACCAGGGAATCTCCACCTAGCCGTGGAGCTCCACCCTCCTACCCAAGCCTCTGCTCACCCCCCAAAAGGAGCCCCTTTCCTCCTCCGTCTGTGGTGCAAGCCAGGAGCATAAAGGGAGGCAGGAGGCAGGGAGAGCCCCAGCCCTGGGGATGCCCTCCCAACAACCATGCAGCTCATGGTGTCTCCCTCGGCCCCCAAGGACCCCCACCAGGGGGTCATTACAGACGCAGAAGCCCCACCACACACACGGCCCTCAACCCCTCGACCGAGGAGAGCTGCCCTGCGGTCAGCCTGAGGGTCAACGCCTGCCAGGGCTGACGGCCACTTTGCCTTGCCTGTTTGCTTTGCGAGATAACCCCAGTTACAAACCAGCAGAGAACGCCTGCAGTGGCTAGCCCTCCCCCAGCAGCTTCATGAGGACTCGGGGGGCTGTGCTGTGACCCAGTCCACAAGTGACGCCTTTGGCCTCACCGACAGCATCGGCAGGCCCCCAAGCCAGGCTAGAAACCCCATTTGGTCTTGTCTGTTGAGTCATCAAATAGCAAATGGACTAGGGTGGGTACATGGGTGGCTGCGGGGATGAACGGATGGCTCGAATGAATAGGTGGGTAGATGAAGGGATTGAAGGATAGACGGCTTGGGTGGGTACATGGGTAGTAGTGGGGATGGAGGAGTAGAGGAATGAATGTCTGCTACAAGACCCACCAAGAAGTCTGCAGTCGCAGGTGGAGAAATAAGGAGGTGTGCAGGGCCGGCATCCCCTAACCAGCAGTGCCCCACCCAGGAGCTGCCACGAGGCAAGAAGTGGCAGCTGATCTTGGGATAAGACACTGGGCCTAAATCCGGGGCCCTGAGCCTTTTTATGTTTCTCACCCCATCCAGTGAAGTGTGTTTCCACAGCCAGAGTTGGCTGGGGGCAGGGTGAGGGATGGGGGGAGCATTTCAATGTTGCAGGCTTTTTTTCTCCCATTGGCATGATTGACAGAGCGCCAGCGGACTCTTAAGCCTGATGGTCAGGCGCGGGGATGTGCCCCATGAGTGCCAGGCGCAGAAACAACTTGAACGCCTCTCTCTGAGAAATCTGCTTCCTTCCTCCGAGGACAAATGACGTGAATCGCAGAACTGATGATTGGCCATGCTCCAGAAGTCATTCACAGCGATCGGGTGACAGTACCCTGCGTCCACCATTAATAGCCCTTCCCCAGCGCGCGTCACATTCGGGCCTGAGTCAAGTGAACCCCCCCCCTCTTTGTTCAGCCTGGCAACCTTCCTCCTCATTAGCCCCGAGGGGAGAGGACAAGGCTCGGCTGAGAGACTATCTGATAATAGCGCTATTGTGGGCCGACCCCAGAGGGAAAGAGAACAGAGGCTTTGAAAGAATATTGCTGACAAGTGGACTTTGTCTCCCTGCCTCCCCAGCTTCTTGCATAAAAGATGGAGGAAAGGGGCTCCGTTTGGGGGGGCTTAGAGGGGGTGACCCACA